AATTTTCATTTGTTTTTTATCTTCATTACTGTAAGCCCGATAATCATCATGACCAGACATTTATTAATGTAAACTAAGAAAAATTAAGTTCATACCATAATAGTTTATTGGATTATTTTAGGTAGTATAGATCATTCACTATTTATTAACTTCCTTTGACTTTGATGTATTTTTAAACTACAAGTCGGTTTTTGATTTTTTTTCTCTTTTGTTTAATCTACAATCGTCACTAAAATACATTCCAAATTTAGAAATTGATATTAAAAAATCGGTTCGATTGTAAAAAACTGTTGAGCAAATATTTTTTTTTAGTTAACCCATGGAACTTCAATCAAATAACTAGTAAAATATATTGTAGAATCATTAAACGTTTAATGAATAGATAATACTATTAATTTGTGATATAACTAACAAAAAATAATAAAAATAGAAATGAGTTTTATTTTTAGAACAACATTTTTATATTTCAAATAACAGGAAATGAAAAAAAAAATGAGAGTAATTAATAAACAAGTCCATAAATGGATATTAAGAACATTAAGAAGTAACTGTAATTAATCAACCTTGTTCAATATGCTCTAATTTTATAACAGAAGTCCTTTCTGTAATTAATAATTTTAATAAAATAAAAATAAATAAAAAAAAAAGAAAGATATTTTAATTGAATTAAATCAGGAGTGAACATTACAGTGAGTACAAGAACAAATGAAAGAATTATTTTAATTGTTTTATTCTTTTAAGATATGATTTAAGAAGTTCTTTAGCTTCTTTAGAATCATGTTTATAAGGTTTTTTTGTTAAATCTATAAATTTTTCAGTAACTTTTGGTTCATGTTTTTGAGATAAATTAAATAATTGATCTTCATTAGAAATTACTTGAATCGAATTGATAAAGTCTCTTACATTTGGTGCAATATTAAATGAAAATGATGTTTTTTGTTTCATTTGAATTTCTTTAATTAAATTACCTATTCCACGTAATTTATAAAAATTATATTTATTATTTGTTGATGCTTTATTACCATCACTTGTATAAATTAAATCAGTTAATGTACTTCCAATAAATGGAATTGTTGGTGGTATTGCAATATTCATTATTTTTCTTAATTCAGTAAAATTATTATCTTCTGAACATAAATGAACTAAATTTTTAAATATATTTTTTGTACTTTGTTGAAGTATTTCCCATGATACTTTAAGTCTAAACACTGAAACAGATTGTAATGCAGTAACAATTGCTTTCATTCCATCAAAATTTTGAATAGTTCTCATTGTTTCTGCTGCTGTAATAAAATAAAATA